AAAGCAGCGTTTCTCAACCTCAGCAACTTTAAGATGTGTGGACTTCAACCTCAACAACTTTTATATGGACTTCAACTCCTAGAATTCTGGGAGTTGAAATCCACACATCTTAAAGTTGCTGAGGTTGAGAAACACTGACCTAGAGAACATCAGGTTGAAGACAGCTGAGTCAGATCAGTATTGCTTGTTGAGTAAATAACAGTGGTTTCAGGCAGGAGGTGCTCCTGGGCACACCTGAAGATGCAAAGAATGGAACCTGAATCTTTTGCACACTTGTCAGGGATGCTATGGCAGTCTAGCCCTTCCAGCCTCAACAGGGAGGTATGACCAGTGACGTCCCTCTGAGTGCGAACAGGCACAATCACTTTCCATACTTTGACTGTAGCCACGCAAACCTCTCGCAACTTTTACAAATAAAAATTATCTTTGAAGAATGTTTAGAACATTCTTAACATGCTCTTAAAAGCCCCTAGTGGCCCCGTACCATCGTTTATCATAGTAAAGCTTGCCATCTTCTATCCGTGCCTCAAATCGTTGGGCTGGGGATTCTGCGGGGGTCGCTGGCAGATGCTCGGGCGATGAAGGAGATGCTGGAACAGAACGATGATCAGCTTAAAATACAGCTACAAACTCAAGCAGAGGATGGCAATGAAATATTTCATTCCACAAGGAGATTATTATTCATTTTGGTAACACTTAGTGAAGAGGACAGAGGGAACGGCCTTGAAGGACAGGAGGAAGAGCTGCAGGCAAGTAAGACTTGAGCCTGGGTCAAGAAACTAATTTGAGAAAATGTCACAGATAACTCCTCCCCTCTGCCATCCCAGAAAGTCAGGAAGAAAAGAGTTCAGACTTGCAAGATTTTGTTACTAGAGCTGCTACAATAAAAGTAGTCCTGATCTGTAAGGCACTGGTTTTGACCTCGGTCTGCCTTGTAGGGCTGACACTTTGCACAGACCAGTCTTGCGCCATCAAGCCATCTGTGAATCTAACTCAAACATAGCCTTAACCCTGCATCCATATCCCCCTAAATCAGGCAGGAAAAATTTAGCCCTTTTCTGGTGATATCACCAGTTGGCCTCCTCCAGGAGGTTGGGAAGCTGACCTGGAGAAGCTGCTCATTCCTGTTTTAAAATAAAGCAAATTATGGTTTCAGGAATGAAGTTTTCCATAGTCCACTGTGTAAGATCCTTTCTAATGGAGATGTTGAATCTGGGATTTTCCGTATGCCAAGATGATCACTAAGCTGCTGTCCTTCCCTTTGTTCCAAGCCAAGACTGGCAAAATAATTAAATTAAAAAATTAAAAAATACTACTCACCTGGTCTTTTAGGTGACTTAAGCTATAAAAGAAAGAACAGGAAAATTGTTGAAGGAATAGTCACAAAATACTACCAATAAAAAGGACTGACCAAATGAGAGCGATTCATTGTTAGCAGGTTGCAAACCAGATGTGTTGAAATCCCATAATTTCCTTGGGCAGCATGGCTACTGCCCATATAAGCTGGGGAGGGAAGAGATTATTGGAATCCCACATCTGGAGGGCCCCAGCTCTCAATTAAATCTTTCAATTGGAGAAATCTATGATGAAATGAATACCATGACATTCTCAGTTTTAGCCACAGTGTTAGAGAAACTCTGTCTGGTTGACTGAAGCCAGAAAGTCATCAGCCTACTAACGTCTACAGGGCTTTCTTGAGATGCCCTCCAGACTCTCCTCCTCTCATGCAGAATTTCATTTTGCATTTTATAACCGAGCTGGCTCTCATGTCCCCAGCGTCTTTGGAGATAGCAAAGATGGAGACAAGTATCGGAGTTCTCTCTCGAGGGGGCAGCTTTCTTAAAGCACCAGTGATCAGAGATGATAGCCCTGACAATCTTCACATGCTTCCTCTGAGAATTTACAGGTGTTGGGAGTTGGCACTGAGGATTTTCTTCAGCTCATATATGTGCTTGTGCAAATATAAAAAATAAGGTTTGGTGTCTATGAGTAGATTGTAAAGCCCTGGACACTGCCTTGGAGAATCTCCCTGGTCTAGACAATCTACTGGTAGGTAGGAGTGAGCAACAGTGTCTTCTTAGAGGATTTTTTTCCACACTGTATGGAGTTCTGATCTGATTTTGTATGTTTCACCAAAGCATCTATGGGCACCACATGCCTTCCTTAGTGGGAGAGGTCCTCTTGAAGACATCTCTACAGTCAGAGGCACATCTTTCCAGCACATGGTAGAGGGCCTTCTTCTGCTTTGCACCCAGACTATGGAACGCTCTCCCTCAAGAGATGCTTTGACTTCTGCTCTCTTACAGTTTCAGAAAACAGGCAAAGACTCTTTCCTTAAGCTTCTGTTAGATGATTTCATTATCTATTAGTTCGTTATTTTTGAAATGTTCTATATTCTGCTTTTGCTTTTAAACTTAGCTACTTTGAGTGTTAAACACTGAGTATAAATCAGTGTTTCTCAACCTTAGCAACTTGAAGATGTGTGGACTTCAACTCCCAGAATTCTCCAGCCAGCATGCTGGCTGG